TGCCACGATTGTCAAATGTGCAACGTGAAAATGCCGTTGGCATGTTGCAAGCGGGAAGATCAGTTATTGACGTCGCAAGAGCAATGGGATGCAGCCGTCGTACTGTCGACTTGCGAGGTCGTCTACAACAAACTGGCACCACTTCTGATCGCCCAAGGTCGGGTCGTCCACGTGTGACGTCACGAGCAGAAGACCGTCAAATCGTCCTACGGCACCTACGTTACAGATTTCTGCCGGCTACACGAACCAGGGCTGAGATGTTTAGAGGTCGACTGTCCTCACAGACCATTCGAAATCGGTTGCGGGCTGCCAATCTCCGTTCTCGACGTCCATATTGTGGGCCAATATTGACGCCGTTTCATCAACGTCAACGTCTGCTGTGGGCCCAACGTCACGTCCGATGGACCCAGAGAGACTGGAATCGAGTCGTCTTTAGCGATGAATCCAGGTTTACCCTCAGATTCGCGGACGGCAGGCATAGAGTCTGGAGACGACGTCGTGAACGGTATGCCCAATGTTGTGTACAGAAAGTCAACAGATTCGGGGGTGGAAGTTGCATGGTGTGGGGTGCTTTCTGTGGGAACAACCGTTCCCGACTTCTGGTCATCCGTGGAACCCACACAGCTGCTGCTTACCGCGACCAGGTGCTCACCGCTGAACTCGTTCCTTTCATGGCGGCTCATGGCCCAGGTCTACAGTTCCAGTATGATAATGCTCGACCGCATACCGCGATGTTGACACGAAATTTCCTTCCAAACGCTGGAATCAACGTCATGGACTGGCCATCGAGGTCCCCTGACCTTAATCCAATAGAGCACGTTTGGGATGCACTTGGGAGAAGGCTTCGTGGTCTTAGGAACCAACCTCAGAACTTGGAGGAACTTGGCGCTGCCTTGCAAGAGCAATGGCGCAGAATCGCCAACCACGTGTTCACAAGCATCAGGCACTCGACGAGGAGATGGTGTTTGACAGTGGTGAATGCGCGGGGCGGCAATACACGATATTGAACAGAGAAATTTTGCATTTATATTCTTGTGACTTGACATTCTGTATACCCATGTTTTGGAACGGCGGTGTAGCCTAATGGAACTGATTATGGCACTGTCAGTGTATCGAGTACATCACACAGATCTCAGCAATGAAATAATAACAATTTTACAATCTTACCATCTCTTGTTCTTTTATAGTGCCCTGACGAAAGAATGTGAAGTTTCCTTTTTGACTCAGTATAGTAATCTAGAATATTGTTCTGGATCTAATGACGGTGACACAAGTAACAGCGTCACCATTCATGGATTCATCTGTTAATAAATAAATATATATTACACTTACTTTTTATTTGATTAAATCATTGCCCTATACTCTAATTCATTTGTTTCTGGTTTTTAACGTATTCAGTGTTAGACTTGTGGCCTCACCCATTGCTAAGGAGAAAAAAAGAAAATATAATTTCTAGCTCAATGTTAGCAGCAGAAAGGAAAGGATTAATTCGTATTACAAGCGGTGGAACAAGTGAATATTTTGTATCCTCCTGGAGAGTATTAATACCACAATTGCGTGCATGCTTGGCTTATTAGATGATAGTTTTTGACACGGTGCAAAGGCACATCTGCTTCAACGTAAAGACTGGAGAGGAGAAAGTCTAAGACCTTAGTGGTGGATAGAATCAGTTATATTGAAACCAGTCAGAATGAGCGTGAGAACTGAGGTACTTTGATAAACATATATTTTCGAGTACTTAAATCGGTTATGGCATCATATGACTGTTCAAGAAATCATGAAAAATATATATCGTCATGTTGAATCTACAAAGAACATAACTAACATACTTTTGTTGCCTAATTTGAATTTCTTTAATACGGATACGGCCATCAACGATTCAAATACACACACGTGCGTTTGTCACATAACGGTTCTCGTGCTTCCAACTGAGTGTTTTCTCGGACGATCTTGAGGGCTTGCTTTTCAGATTTTGCGTGCCACTTTTCCTTTGATTCATGTAATTATTGACAGTTACGGGTTTCACATAACATATTTCTATGTACCTAAGCAAAGTATACACCTTGAATACATATCACTTCACTAGGCATATTTCGGACAGTTTATTAGCTCCTTCAGAAGTTGTCAGCGTGTTCATTGTAAGAAAATCCCATTAGCTATTCTTTAGGAATACATATTCGGATAAAGTGGTAATAGCTGGTAATATAACATTAGAATATGTTTTCATCAAATCATCATCACCAACATCATCATCATCATCATCAATGTTTTAAACATATTAAATCTTTCATAAGGAACAATTTTAGAGTGCGCCTGTAATGTTAGCATGTTGGAATTAAACAGCAACAGAATTGTTTAACTTGTTTGAGTTCATACGACAATATGAAATCCTGCCAGAGGGACTCGAGTCGGTATTTGGCTTGACCCGGAATAACACGAGTTGGCCACGAATGGCAAATACTTGTCATCTTGTAATGTGAGGTGGCCAAGATACCCATACAAGAAATTCGGTCAGCAGAATAACTTCTGAGCAAGGAGGCTCCAAATCGAAAATTCACGATTCTTCGAGCATCCGAAGCACCCATTGACGTTTGCTATGTTTGTCTCATCGTGTAGGCAAATCTATTGGCTTTTAATGATTCTGAAGTTTAATGGGGGTATATCCCAAAAAAAACATTGGTGAAAGGAACTTGGTGTGTTGACCTCGTTACACATCTTTCCTTTAACATAGTGCCAAAACCCCGACAGTGACAACAATCATACGTCCAAAGGTTTCAAAGTTATGATCTTCTCATTACCACAAGATGCGTTTTGGGAGAAATTTAAGTGCAAATATTTGTACATTATATACTGAGAAATTATTCTCATAAATTGTCTATTCATATCATGACTATTGAAGCTTTATATAAATGAATCAATTTAGCTTCACACACCTTTTTAATCGAAGACTATTTGTTGTTTTATTATGGCTAAACATCAGTACAATCGCCAATGGATGAAGGGATGGTATAAATCCAGCTAGGGTCCATGCAGGTAGCCAACGTACTGTAAGTCACCATGGTCCCTAGAGTGGTGATCTACCTCCAGTTGTTGGCGATCCTCAGCTTTTTTTATATTGTATCGTCCAAATTTGAAATCCTCTTTTTGAGATATATGCTAGTTATATTTCATATAACTGTGATATAATAGTTGGTTTTACTGTCGACTGTTTTTTTAAATGTGCTCAATATATAACTGTTTATAACTATACTGTAAGCCATTAAAAACGCAATTGGTATTTGTTGTCCTGAAACTCACAAAAGTTCTATTGAAGATTTGTGCCTGCGATAGAGAGGATGTAGGGATAAAAGGCTGTTATTCTGGCCAATTTCGAGTTCGAGTCCCGGAGCATTCCTCTCACATGAACTTTGATACTTAAAACTGAACCTTTGACATTTCTCGTAAACACAACCACATTCATGAAACACGGTGTGCACATGCATTACCTGCACCCAGGCCCTGTAAAAGCACAAGGCATTGTGGAACTCAATCACTTTGAGAAAATGCCAAACTTGACACAAGACGAAAGGAATCAGGTTATCGGTATGGTCAGCCAAGGTGCTTCAGATGTGATGATTGCAAGGCACTTTAATGTGCATCCATCCACTGTAAGTCGACTCAGACAACGTTTTCGGGCTACCGGAAGTGTTGCTGATCGTCCGCGACCTGGCGCACCACCTGTGATAACAGTTCGACAAAACCGCAATATCCGAGTTTCACACTCGCGAAATCGGTTCCAAACAGCTGGTGATGAGGCAAAGAGGACAATTGGGACAAGTCAACGTCATTTCAGCGCCAAAAGGTGCAAGGACGCCTTGCTGCCTTCAACATCCGGTGTCGTCACCAGTACCGTGGTCCAACCTTATTGCATAGCCACAGACTTGCCACACAGCGATGGGCAGCAAATGGGGCCAATCTTGGCAACAGGACATGGCCAGATGTGTCAGATGAATCCAGGTTTAACTGATCCTTTGCAGATGGACGTCAACAGATTTATCGACGTAAAGGAGAAAGACTTGCGCCAAACTGTGTCCTTGAACATGATCGTTTTGGATGGGGTGGTGTCATGATCAGACCACAGACCATCAGAGGCTGCAGACCATCCAACAGCTGTTCCTGAGAAATGTGTGTCTTTCAATGCCCCAAAAGTCTGGGAGCATGTCTTGTAGCGCACGGTGGACACACACGATATTGACTGCAAGTGACCCCTCCTTTGTTTGATGTCGTTTTTGCGTCACTGATGTTGTTGTTGACTGGACATTTTCAGAAGAAATTATTCACAGATGTTCACTTAAAACATATCTGCCAGTTAGGCGGAAGCATTTCAATCGAGAAACTGAAATCTCGAATGACTACGACTATTATGACACTAGATTAAGCAGGCACGCAATAATGTTGTTGTTGATGACGGAAATGAAGTACGATCTGTGAGTAAATGTGATTTTAGTTTTACGCTGCACCCAGCAATATTCCAGCTATATGGAAGCGGTATGAAAAAATCGAGTCTGGACCAGACAATCCAGTGATCAACAGCATGAGCATCGATCTACACGAATGGGAACCGATGACACGTGTCAACCATGTCAGCGAGCCTGACCACCCGATCCCGTTAGTCGCCTCTTACGACAAGCATGAGTTACTGAAGATACATTCTAATCCGAACCTTCACTGGTGAAGTACGATCAGAGGAATATTTATTATCTGTGGTGTGTGGGTTATATTACTTCAGCATTCAAGAAGTCGGTGTGTGTGTGTGTGTGTGTGTGTGTGAAATTTTTAGTGGCATCTTATGGCAATAATATGTCACCAAATTTATAATGGAAATCCGACAGATTCCAACTGGGTGACTTAAAGACACACTGTGATGACAGACTAACATAGCTGTACACTGCGCCCTTGAACTACTCACTGGAATTAGTATTGGTAACTCTATGAAATGAGTACAAAATATATTTACTCACTTTTCTTCTTCTTTCTCTTCTTTCTGCGCCTACAAAAGAAATGAAATATAAGAGAAACAGTTACTCATAAAATCAATATTATTACATTTGAAATCTTTCAGGACACTTTGCTTTGCTGATAGTATTCTAAGCCTCGTGAAGCCAATGAGCCTCCAGATGAGATGAGGTTTTGTAAACTAGTTCAACATTGAGTGGGAGTAATTGGCAATACTACATCATCTTCGACTGCAGTATTTGTAAGAGGGCAGCTTGCCACCCTATTTACAGGCATGTCACTATGAATCATGTTTGGTGATTAAGATTGAACCACATAATTGTTCAGTCGACATATAAGTGTATCAAATAAACTACAGGTTGTGTAACTCTTTGTTCTTGTACGGTATAACTATTTCATGTAGAAACGTGTCGGACTCCGAACAGCCATTTGGGTCTATTCCCGAACCAACTGTGTGTCATAACAAATTAGCAGTGGATGAAGTGTCATTACTTGGCGAATTGTCATTTGTTTTCTACGTGAACAGGAAGTTAATAAACTCTCTAATCGTTCCTGTTGAAGCAATATGCATATTAGAGTCACAGGATCGATTGTCCAGTATTTGTATATGCTAACAATTCCAAGCAGTATTGGGAATGAACGAATGGACTTCAATATATTGAAATTATATCACGGATGTAAACGAACACAGAGCATGGCACCAAATGTGAAATTGGGCGAGAAGGTAGCATTTGTTATTTGATTGGTTGCTTACAGTCTGCCCAGGATAACCCTGTATAATCGGGTACTGTTCAAAGCCTGTCAAAAGCTACAAACATGATTTTACATCGTCGGAAGTTTGTGAAATATAACAATACATGTATACAAATTCTTCTTGTAAAGCATACCTTTCTTGCAAGAATAAATGATAAACACTTTTCATCATTTACTTTATTACATTACGGACGATCGATCGAGGTTTTTGCAGACAATATTTGTCAACATTTCAAAAGGTACAAACGCGCCTTGGTGAACAATTACTAAATTGAAACTATTTACAAATACTTTACTGTCTTCTGCATAATTTGCTAGTCTGCAGAACTTGTTACGGGATCGATCATATAACTGATGAGTCACTTGGTTACTGAAGATCCATTCTAACCCGGACCTTCACGGGTGTGAAGCGTTTTTTGGGATGCATTTTCTTTCATTATGTGAGGGAGTGAATAACTCATGGAGTTACTTATTTTAACAAAACTGCTGTCGTTCAAAATATAATTATTATCTTCTCTGAATAATAGGACCAGGCAAACACTATTATTAAATATAAACAAATGTATGGCCTTTCGTGGCCTTTGGGTATCGGCTAACATTGACTTACGCAAGTGAAATTTGATAAATATTTGTTTTAATGTCTGATACATTCAGAAGAATGTACATGGGAAGCGAAAGCACTCTCATCTAGGTATCACAGCCGTGGGATTAACGGTCTTTGACATCTTAATAAGGTCACGGTCAAAAGTGTCAAACGCTTATAACATGTCCCAACCAACTTGTTATAGAAGACAAAGCCAGTTGTTCCGCAAACTTATATTTGGAGTTGCTGTCTCCACTTTGTTCCTAATTAGCTTAGAAGTACGACATAGCTGGGACAATGTGATGTGATCCATAGTGAAATAATGACAGTGCTTTAGAGCAGGACACGTTTCAGCGTTGACGATTCTTGCTATGTTGTTCATGTGATAAATTTTTGTCCAACCGGACATGTGCTGCATTTCTTGGCTTAAACATAAAGCAGACTAAGTGTATACATCGGATGTATAAGTCGGGCTTCGTTCTGCCATATGTTAATTTTAAGGCAATTATGCAAGACTAATGGAAAATAGAGACACAATTATCGTGTTATATGTTTATACCCATCGTGCTTTTGAAGTCAGCGAGACTTGTTCGCTGAAGGAGATCAGGGCGAACCTGCAAGGTGCTACTGGTGTTTGTACTGCACAATCAATGCATTGCTAACAACGTCATGCATTAGAAAGTCTTTTTAGAAAGAGCTCAAGGTATCCCCCGGATTTGGATAGACCTGTTGGCTTAGATCTCCCATTGCCCATACATACATTACACGTATTAGAGGCAATGTCCATTGTTTTGTCTTTTGTGTTTCTTTCTTGTCTTTGCGTTGAATTTTGCTAAGTTGAACGATAGTCTTGCTGGGGGAGGAAGTTTTGCAGTCAAATCACGCTCACAGAAGAAAAGTGTCACGATCAGCAATTTGAGAAAACATTACGGAAATTACATTTTGTTCGGTAATAGCCGACACTGCTCTAATAATGATTTCTTACGCTTAAAATGACCAAACTTTTTCTGTATGAAAGAAGACACCTGGAAGAGCATGTGAATTCAGGTGGTGTACAGTACACGTACTTTGGCAGACAAAAAAAAATACACATCGTTTTGTAATTAAACGTTTACAATAATGTAACCCACTTCTGACTTTGAAGACACTTGAAGATCCAGGTAAGAACTGGTCTTTAGCAACCACTGCTTGTCGTTAAAGACTACTAACGGGATCGGATGGTCAGGCTCGCGGACTTACTTGACACATGTCATCGTGTCCCAATTGCGTAGATCTATGTTCACGATGTTGAACACTGTATTGTCTGGTCCATATATTTACAGACCACCGCCATACTGCTGGAATAGTAAACTAAAACAACCGGCCAACCAGCGTCTGATATTGTATTTATTTGGGAAAGTGCACTTACCTCTAAGAGTGATTCCCACTTGAATATTTCTCCACTATAAATAATGTTTAATGAAAACATTATGTTTTAGGAACATTTACTTATCAATAACTCCTCTTGGCATCAACTGTTGTATGTGTTCTTTTATTGATCTTCGTGACTACAACAACCACCAAATGATACTCCCATCAAGACTTCACTCTTCAGGGGCATGTCACAATAAACTGCACATCATTGCAAGTAAAATAAATCGGTAGTATTGTTTTCGTTGAGCTGTTATTTTGTCACATGGTGGTTTTGTCACAGCTCGAAATAGATTTGTCATTTCAATGCGTCGCCATCAGCGCACAAGATATATTGTCTCGTGCAGAGCTGTATAGAAATTGGTATTCAGTAACCCATGCCAGTGATGATCGGGAGCGTGTGGTCAAACTGTCATGTGTGTGTCGATAATCATGACCTGAACAAAGGGTGATTATTTAAAGCCACTGTCATATCGCTTGAATTCTCCTGAGTATGTTAAAAGACATACAAGCAATACCAAGTCAACATTTTTTTTGAAGTTTATTTAATTCATTAATCTTATTACGATAAATACCGTACAGGCAGAGCGGAAAAAGACGAGGACATGGTTCACGCATGCTGTGTTTAGTTTAATCACTATCGCAGGCCGTGCACTGATCTACCGGAGGTACTCCACATTGTGTATTTCCTTCTTGATAAATCATGTTTAATGAAAACCGAGTGTTCTGGATATTTCCCAATTACTAATTCATTTACATATCCTCTGTGATAAGTGGTGTCCCCGAACTGGACGATAACAGCTAAAGGATACCTCAATCAAGGCTCACAGATCAGTCTTATCTTTGACCAGAGAGACACGTCACAATTATTGTTAAATGAAGCGGGAGTTTCAGTTCAGTCTGTATTCTGTCACGATTAATGGGATCAGCTGGTTAATATGGATGATGCTGTCACTTTGTCCCTGTTTTGTGGATCAATATCCATGATATGTATGCATTGTCTGGTTGACTGTCAATTATTATTACTAACCCGTGGAAGAGAATGTAGTGTATATTTTTACGGCAATATTTCTCTAGTGTAATATCGCTAGACGTATCACATCATAATGGTTAATAGTTATGACGTCACACTTTTCATAGTTCTGTTACAGTGGTGTTATACCTTGCTTGACTCGCGGAAAGCTCAGAGTCATCACACTGTAGGCAGTTTCTATCACTTTATGTTCGAGAGTAATAAACATAACATATACTATCCAAAAAAAGAAACGAATAACCCAGAAATCTGTTGCAAAAATGTTGTATTTCAAACATGTATAAGTCGTCAACAAATAGACTTTAAGAAATGCATTTTTACATCAGCTTAGAAGAAGGTAAGAAGAACCAAGTGGATAATTTTAGATAATAGCGACGCTGAGCGTGACGGTGACGACCTAGCATGGTCCCAACATCGGGTCTCTTGGCTTTCAGTCCAGTCTCTCTCAACCTGTTCCGTACAGTTTGACCGGGTATCCTGCGAATCCAGGCACCCTGACTGCTGTGCACTCACCCGTGGCACTACCATCACGCAAAGGTAGTACCTGGATGTACCGATCTTGGGCTACAGTAGTGACTCAAGGTCTTCCTGTATGTGGACGGCCATTTGTTATACCTGTTTGGGTGTAACGAGTGATATCGTGCTCAGACTAACATTCAGAAAATTGGTGATCTCCACCGTGCATACCTTCAATTGCGATGTTCCATGTCGCAGATTGGAGACTTGGAGTAGTAGTATATACAATGATAGTCCGAGATCGATTCCAAGAAAGGTCGCTGTAAAGCTTTATTTCATATATAAAGCTTTTGTCAGGCCCTTAGATCTCGCCACTATTGTATATACTACTTTTGAATCCCCAGTTAACTTCCCGGTCACTATGACCGCGAACCAGCACTTTCCTGATCATGTGATAGCTCTATGTCGTGTTGACAGGATACCATTAAGATTACTCGACAAGGTAAGTGTTAAATTTTTTGCTTGGGTGGCAACATTGTGCTACGTATTGTATGACCAATAATTCCTCTCTGACGAAACCTCTCTCTGGCCCATCTTTCAAGTAGTACAAGTTCGGCTCATCAGCTTTGATGTCCACTTTATATATGTTGTAAGTTGTGACTGACCATATCGGATCGGTGGCTCGTTTCCGAGTGTCCCCTTTGTGTTCCTCCAGCTGGTAGAGGTACCTCACGAGGGCCCTATCGGGTATCTGTTTCTCCTCCCCACAATGGTGCAGCCGGTTCGGCTATCACTGATT